AAAAAAAAAAAAAAAAAAAAAAAAAAAAAAAAAAAAAAAAAAAAAAAAAAAAAAAAAAAAAAAAAAAAAAAAAAACTAGCTATTACAAGTGGTATCCATAGCCTATTATTTTGGACTTTTCATGTAGAAAAATATTTTTAATAAGTTGATTAGAATTGTTTAAGGGTTCCAATATTTGACATGGCTAACTCTAAAATAAATTAGAATTTTATATATAGTAGTGGTGGTTTCTTGAAAGTCACCTGGGCTATAGCCCTGGTAACAGTGTAAGTAGCTCCGCCCCTGGACGAATGCATGTGGAAAGCATGGCCTGTCCTGAAGATGATGGCATCAGAAAGTTACATACTGCAATAAAATAATAGACGTGTCATCCACAACAACAAAATTAGCATATTCTAATGGTAATATATTCAAATTAAAATTTCAATAAATATTTTAATGCTATAACTTTCATTGAATAATTTCAACGAGATCAACAATATAATAGTCTGCTAGAATGATTGTAATTCCCTAAGAATTTTAGTTGGAATTCCATGATTACAACAATCATTTTTCTACTTAATGTGCAATGAGTACTCTTTCTCTCTCTCTCTCTTCGCTAAACTCGTTCTTCCAATTTTTAGCCCTTCAGATCTCTAATTTTGTGTCTTCCCCAGCGAATCGTCGAGGGTTTCCCGGCGGAGGCCGGCTCTGGCTGCGTGGCTGGCCCCCGATCTCTGCTATTGTCGGTCTCTGGCGAAGAAGGAGGTGTTGGGAATTCCGACCACATCGAAATTCCGCCCAAGATCCGCTGAAAATAATAAAACTGGAGAACACAAAGTTTAACGTGGAAAACCCTCTGTTAACGAAGAGGGAAAAACCACCAGGGCAACAAGGCCGTAGAAAATCCACTATGTAAAAATTAAACAATTTTTCTACACTCACTTATACCCAAAATTACCCCACAGAATTTTTTATCCGTTAACCCTAACTCTCACCCTAAGGGATTTTTAACCAGAGATTAATTGTTAACACAACAACTCTGTGTGATGATTTAACATAAGAAGTAGCACCTTCTTATATAGGGAAAAACTCCCCTCCCTCTCTCATCCCATACCGATGTGGGACAAAAGAGCAAAAAACCCAACAAACTCCATCTTGCGATTTTGGCCCATCTGACAGCCACTATTCACTTTGATGAAGTTTTTCATAGCTTTTGCTATCATGCTCCACCATAAAAGCATATCTACTCGGACTTGCATCCAAGCATTTCTTCGGTATCTCCACTTACCGACTTGGAGCTTTTTGCCGAACCTGCTCCTCCTTTCGGACAATTTCTTTTCACGTGCCCAGATTGTCCACACGTCCAGCAAATCACGACTTTCTTCTTCCTGGAGTTCCTCTTCTTTCCGTCACCGACGAGCATGACTTGACCTTCCAGTGAATTGTTTCGTCCACCATCTAGCCTTCTCTCTTCCGCAAGAAGTTTACCAGTGACTTCAGAAAATACAATTTTCTCCTTCCCATGAATCAAGATCGGCTTCAAGAGACCAGATGAGTCTCAATGCCTGATCCTCATCATCAATCTTCACTACAATGGATTCCAGTTCCGAGACGATCCCATTGAGAACGCTTAAGTGGTCTGAGATGCTTTGACCTTCAGCCATTCGCAGTGTGTGAAACTGCTCCTTCAGATACACTCGATTTGAGACGCCTTTAGCCTGATACAACTCCTCAAGCTTGTCCCATAATGCTTTTGTCGTCGAAATTCCATGCACATTAGCAAGAACATTCTTGGCCAGACATAGTCGTATCGCGCTTGCCGCTCTCAAATCCAGTTCTTCCCAATCTTCATCGCTCATTCCAGATTTGCTGACACCAGTTTTTTCTTCAGTGCTGCTGGTAGCACTGCCTTTGGGAATTTCCGAGCCCTTCAAAGCTTTGTGTAACCCCGACTGAATCAACACGTCCTTCACTTGCACTTGCCACAAGCCAAAGTTGATTTTTCCGTCGAATTTCTCCACATCAAATCTCGCCAGATCCGATATCTTAGTTCCAGACATCTTCGTGAATTAGTGAACACTAACTTCGCAGAAAACCGAGCAGCAACCTTGAATAGTACTGATCAGATAAATTCTCAGGGAGGGTATCGACCTGCCCTCTAAAGAATTACCTTTCTAAGTAAGCTCCCAGGAAAGGCTGGTGGGGTCAAAACGGTCCCACTTAAAAAACCAGTCTCCTAGACAAAACCTACTTACACAGTAACTATTCCCTCCACTGCCCAAAAACTCCTCTGCGCACAAGCTCCACCCGTAACTGGCTCTACCGCACGACAAACCTCTTTGGTATCTTTTCTGATGTGGAAGATCAGACAAAACTGCAACCACGGAGCATACTCAGAATACCAACTAGGCTAACCTCGCTCTGATACCACTTGTTGGGAATTCCGACCACATCGAAATTCCGCCCAAGATCCGCTGAAAAAAATAAAACTGGAGAACACAAAGTTTAACGTGGAAAACCCTCTGTTAACGAAGAGGGAAAAACCACCAGGGCAACAAGGCCGTAGAAAATCCACTATGTAAAAATTACACAATTTTTCTACACTCACTTATACCTAAAATTACCCCACAGAATTTTTTATCCGTTAACCCTAACTCTCACCCTAAGGAAATTTTAACCAGAGATTAATTGTTAACATAACAACTTTGTGGGATGATTTAACATAAGAAATAGCACCTTCTTATATAGGGAAAAACTTCCCTCCCTCTCTCATCTCATACCGATGTGGGACAAAAGAGCAAAAAACCCAACAGGAGGTAGTGGATGCCCCTGGCGGTCATCGGCGTTAGTTTCTGTTGTTGTTTGGGGGAGATGGTCTGTCGGCTTCTCGCTACGCGGTGGAGTCGGGTAGTGGCGGTGTTGGGTGGTGGCTGCGGCCGTGGCTTCTTGTTGTGGCGGTCGGGGTAGAGGACTAGCGGGCATCCTCCCTTGCCCTCTTTTTCCCTTGGTGTTTGGGAGAAGGGGCGGACGACGCTTTTTTCCGTTCTTGACTTGCTTTATGGGCTTGGTTCGGGGCGACGGTGGTGCGTGGGGTTTGGCTGTTGGTTCTCCGTTGGCGGGGCTGGGGTCGACCGTCTGGCCCAAGGATCATGCTCTCGAGATGCACTTCTGGTTAGGCGGGTCCGGCAGTTTCAAGAGAGGCTTCTTAGGGTGTGGTCCGGCCCGTTTGGGTGGTTGGCTGGGTATTTTCGCCGTCGTGTTACTCTCGGTGTTATGTTCGGCTGTGGAAAGGGTCTAGTTTAGCTTTTTTGTCTAGGTTTTGCATTGTTTGGGTTCATTATGTTGTGTGGTTTTCTCTTTTGTGGCTTTTGTGTTTCGTGTTTTCTCCCATAGGGGAACGTGCTTCCTCCCATAGGAGAATGTGTATTTCCCATAGGGGAGTTTTTATTCTCCAGTTGTGGAGCTTATTAGTTTAGTTTTATGGTTTGTTTGTGGGTCGTTGTGAGCTTTTGTTAGTTTTATGCTGCCTTCGGATCTGTCATCTCACTAGATTCGGCTCAAGAACTGTCTTATTCAGCTATCGGGTTGTTTTTTAGATGTAATTATGTGTTACTGTTATATAAATTTTATATTGTTCCGAAAAAAAAAAAACAATCATTTTTCTATAGTTTGTTGTTATAGGAATTTTGGTTGAATTATGTAATTTCTGTTGAATTTTTTTTTGAAGTAATATTTCAACCATAAAAAAAAAAAAAAAAAA